GAACTGCGATGCGGGAAAAATGTTTTATTGATGCTTGCAGGCAGCAGTTTTTATAAGTGAAAGTAAATGAAGTGAGTTTTCTATGTTTCTTCTCTAGTAAGTTACTGTCGTTGATGGCATACTTCCTAATTTGAAGTGTGAATGTACTGAAACAAGTTGCCAGCAGCATTATGTCCAGTGACACAGCATAATTCAAATTCAAGCACAACAGTAGCCTAGGCACTTGTTCTTCCCTAGAAAATTTAAGTAAAAGTATAAAAGAACTGCTCAGTGTTTTAGTTTAACAATAACTAAATTAACTCAGGCTCATAACTGCTCTGAAGCTGCACAGGATGTTGTGTCTTTGGTCAAGCTTTTTATCCTTCTGCTTAAAGTCCTGGTTTTCCACCATGTAACCATGTCAGTAATTTCTATCCACTGCTTGTGCTTCCACTCATGTGGTGTGAGGCTAGCCAGCGATGCTTGTTGAAGTGATCTGTGGACATTTGGGTTGCACATCACGAGCTGTTAGTATCTGCTTCTTTGTAGCCTGGTTGTACTTGGTTGTCTGTTTTTGCCTCAAGTGGTGAAACAAGTTTGTTGTTTTCACCTGCAGCATGAATAGTTTTCTTGCATATTTTGTAAAACACTGTGTTCTGTTGGAGGTTATTAAAGTTTTTAGGTGCTAAATCGTTATTGGAGGATGACCCATGGTTGTCGCTCCCAGACATGCTCATAAACGCATGGTGTTACTATAGCAATGATATAGCTATATGACATTTTTATATCATATAAAAATTATCTCGGGATGTACCAGAAATAGTTTGAAAACCACACCTTCAAGCTAGCCTTCTTCTTATTGGTTGCCCTTCATAAACATAAGATTTGAACCGTAGGTGGTTTGAGTTTCTGGGGTCCTGGCCTGAACTGACTATATTAGGGATATCCCCATTTTTTTGGTGTCATTTAAAGGCAAGAATAGGGGGGGGGAATCTGAAGCCAGAGCTTTTGCCTCACATTGTTTGTTTGGGCGCTGACCTCATAATAAACATTATCCACCACTGTAACTGTACATATCTGACAGAAAATAAGAGGAAACATGATCACTGCACACTACCATTAAACTGCTCTCTTATGATTGTGACCTGCTAGCTTTCCCTGGCCAAGCTAACGCTGAGCCTTGTTTTCATTTCCTTACTCAAAGAAGGGCTAAACATGGCTTATTTAAAGCTTTGCTAATCTGTGGATTTGCAGGTTACTCCTGTTTGTGCGCCATCTACTCTCAGCGTCTTAAATGTCGCTCCCATAACTGGTGGTTCCTATTGTGTTCTTTGTCTAATTTTGTTTTTCAATGGTGGTTGGAAAATGGCTCGTAAGCATGTTACTGCCACCTTCTGGTAGTAGTAAAGCAATAATTAACTCCAGGCACACATGGTTACATAATTCAGTTTTGTTTCTTCCTGTGCGCTTGTCCATCCTTACTAATAATGCCTTTGAAAAACGCAGTTCAGCATCACCACAGACTAACATTATGAAGATTGCCGTTGCATTTAACTGCATTAGTTTTAGATAAACAGAGCCTGTACTATTAAGAGGCCTTTAAATAAATCTATTACTTAGTTCGATTGCGGCAGTAGTGTTTCATTTCCATCTTCTCCACAGATGAGTGTGGGTCAGCGGGCAAAGCTTATTTGCTCACCAGACTACGCCTACGGCAGCAAAGGTCACCCAGGGATCATCCCACCAAATGCCACTCTCACCTTTGATGTGGAGCTGATTGGTCTGGAGGCCTGAAACTTGTGCACTCAACTTTAATTCCACTCAGATTTTCAGGGTAAGACGTGTTTAATAATGTGAATAATCAACATGATTAGATTTGTAACACCCGGCGCAATTAGGGAAACATATGTATTAATAATCCTAAACAGTACTATCGCTCCCCACATGCTTACAGTGACTATACAGTTATCTTTTGTTGCTTATGTCCAGAGATTAAATAGTATGGATATAACAAGCTTTAGTGTCAGTAATCCACTCTTCCTCTTCTTAATCACAGCTCTGAGCTTTTTTTTTCCTCTTCCCCCCTCACTGCAGGTTGACTCCTATCTCGGGAACATGGAGGAAAAAGGTTAACAGATGATTCCTGCTCTTGATTCCTGCATAGGACCTATGTCTGTTGTTACACTATTTCACTCTCCTTTACATTTATATACAAGTTCTGTTTTGTCACTTGCTTTAAAACGTTATCCCTTATATTATACTTTAGATTCCAGACAGTAATAAGTCATAGGCCATCTTATCACATGTATTTTGTCATATACTGCTTTGTATTTTTATGGTCATATTTTTTTTTTTGGACTTCAAATTGACTTTATTGCCGCTGTTTGACTGACTAAATGCGTCTGCCACCAGGACCATGTTTTAAGTGTCATAAATACTGAATGAGTCTCATTCCTGTGGCTTTGTGGCCTTTACAATAAAATCGTATTGATTGCGGGTAATGAATTGTCTTGATTCAAAATAAGAATAAATTGTTTGACACAATATTTTTATGAATTACTTTTGTTATGTACTCTAAAATACAAAAATGCCCAGAGCATGTCATAATCAGGGGATCAAAAATCAAACGTTTTCCTGAAGAGCGTTAGAGGACCTGGAAGATGGTCTTAATTTATGAGCCAAAAATACCTGCTTGCTTTAATATCCACAGCTAAAGGAGAAAAATTTTCCTCTAGGAATGGCTTATTCTAATAAATTAAAGAGCGATTTTTAAGTAAAATGATGTTTATTTCTCCGAGTTATTCTTTGTCACTTCATTGCCCTTTTTTGTCATTTTAAGCCACAGTCAAAAAGACCCAGTGACCCTGGCAACCAGCAGTTGTTAGGGAAAAATGTGCATTCTCTGATGCAACCACGTAGGGTATAAAAATGTTAAATTCAGCTTTTCAATGGATGCTGCAGGATTCTTTAATTTGTCAACTGGCTTCTAGGCCTGTTACTGGGGCTTTGCACTGATGCATGAATAAGGTGAGACTCTACAGGTGAACAGGGTATAAAATACCACCGTGTTATTTCCCCCAATTAATCTTAAGGAATATTGAGTGTAATACTTTCTAAGTCTTAGTTTTATTAAAATTTTCACTTTTTTTTTTTTTTTTTTTTTTTTTTTTTTTTTTTTTTGAGCAAAAATTGGACAAAGCTCAGTTTTGATGGCTGCTTTTTACAGAGCTATATTTGTGTTTGTTGGTTTTTGTAATGGTCTTAAAAAAAATAAAATTATTGTTTTTTCTGTATTCCAAACTTTGAGTTAGTTTCATTTTCTTTCTAATGTGGCATCATTTTTTTTTGTTTCCATTGTTTTTGTGGTTGTTGGAATATTCTTGTTTCATTTTATTAACAAATTAATCAAAAGATTCTTTACACAGCATATTTTTGATATATTTTCTTGTTTCTCCAGACAGAAAAAAATGACCTTTTCACCATGTTTTCAGGAATCAGATTGATATATTTATAAATCTTTAGAAACTTCAATAATATAACACAGAATCGAGCTGGGGATTTTAAAGAATGTAAGTGCTACTTAAATGGAGATTTCTAGGCTCAGAATACAGAAGCTACTTTGGGCTGTTCCCTTATTCACAAGGGGTCGCCACAGTAGGTAGCTCCACGTTTGGTTTGGCAGTTTTTATGCCGGGCGCCCTTTAATGCTGCAACTACAAAGGGATTTGTGTGTCCTCCCAGGACTGAACTGGGGATTTTTTCACCTGTTAGGTGAATGCATCAGGCTCAGAATATGTGAGAAAAAAAAAATCAAAGCAACCTTTAAATATATACATTGTAAAAATGTTCTTGTAAAACTTTAAGCGGTAAGTTACTATGAAATTTCCCCTAATAATTATTGACATAAAAAAGGTTTGGTATTGCACATTTCCTGAAATTTTGTATTTAAATATGCAGATGAGCTGATGTATTATCTAATATGCATTCATTTGCATAGATAATACAATGGAGAAAAAAGTGTTTCTGCCTGTAATGTCTCGCCTTAATAATTCATATTATTATGTCTCACTAACAAAAGAAAATAGAAAACAGAAGCATGTTTTATTTCCAAGAACAAAGGAAACAGTATTTTTTGCAATATTTGGCTGTTTCTAATGACTGAAGTGACACTGAGCAAATACAAATACATAAAGGAAATACTGTTGCTTTGGAACAAAAGTCAAACAAAAATGAATAGCGTGAAATTTGAAGACAACATTGTGCGCTGCTCCAACAGACTTTATTATACAGTAAAATCGTCTGCTTCTTTCTCACGCTGAACCTCTGATTGAACTCCTCATAAACCTCACTGGAAGGATCCCTGAAAGCCAAACCTTTGTTCTTTTTGCATAATAAGGCTGAAATCGGTAACTACATTTACAGCACGTCATAGTGTGTGATGACAATTGAGTCACATCAAAGGGCCACTTGAAATAGATACATTATAATATTAATGCTCAAACACTGATACACTGCATTAGGCTTGACTGCAGTACAGTGAAAGAAGCCACAGTTGATGCCAAAAATAATTATGTTAATTCTTTCTAGCAGCTGTGCAGACATCTTTTTTTTTTTTTATGTAAAATCAGAAAATATAAACCTGTGTCAAACTGTTATCTCTTTACAAATTCACTAAAGTGCTCTCGCGACTCACGTCATTCATCTGTGTGGATCACCGGTTACTAAATCTCCAACTTTCCCTCTTTATCTCCTTAAGATACAATGTAGATAAATGATCTGAGTGTGCGTTAAAGCAGCGGTCCCCAACCTTTTTTGCGCCACGGACCGGTTTATGCCCGACAATATTTTCACGGACCGGCCTTTAAGATGTCGCGGATAAATACAACAAAATAAAACTAGTACCGGTACCGAAAAAAAGATTTATTCATAACCCAGGGACACAGAGTTAACGATAAAAACGATAACAAAATAACACTGAAATCCGATAAAAACCCTGAAAACCATACATTTCACACCTGAGCCTCAACTCTCGCGGCCCGGTACCAAACGACTCACGGACCGGGGGTTGGGGACCGCTGCATTAAAGGATGGAGCAAATCAGACTCTCTCTTTCACACACACACACACACACACGTACACACACTACGCTAGTTTGCTTTAAGATCCAAAATGTAATAAATGTCCTTATAAAAGTATTTTTTCACAATTTAGACCTTTACATTATCTCCATTATGTAAAATAACCTTGTATTAACCTGCAGATTTCTGCTTCTCTATTCTTGGTCACGGATGCACTTCCTTATTCATGTGTCCGAGCAGGATCGAAATGGAGTCTATACAGTTTTCCTTATGCTGTAGGAATTTGAAAACAATCTTCCATCTGTCTGTTTCACTCTCACTAGAGTCAGTTCACATCTTTGCTTCTCAGAAAGTCCAAAATTTTTTTTCCTTGTTTGTGATACAAAAACAAATGCTTTTCCTCTCTTGCACCCACACCCTGTGTGCTCTGTTTATCAACTGCTTCTGAACACGTCACAAAAGTGCTGACTCTAATGTACTTTTCTGCTTTGGTGAGGCATCAGTGATGCCAAAGGAATTTCATGACTGCGACTCTCACATTCTCTGTGAACAATTTAGAAAATGTGATGATGAAATTAGAGAAGCATTCAGTCACACACTATTTCTCTTATTTTCATAATGTGTACATTGTTGCTCTGAAGGCATCGCATACTGAAGGGGCTTTTTAATGCAAGCAAGAGAGTCCAAACAAACTGTGGGTTACATGCAAACCGCAATAAAGAGAAAACCACTTAAAGTGCAGGCAGTAGCAGTAAATACAGACTATATCAGTAAGGAAAGTATTTGATGTACAACTAATCTTTTGTTCTCTAAGGCAAAGCATGATCACAGACTCTAAAAATCGTATAAGTTTTGATATCCAATGCGAGGTTGAGACTGAAATGTTATAAAGTAAAGTCAGTGTTGTGCCTGGAGAGGTTTGGAGTCTTTTCTTAATGCCAAACGTGGCTGAAAGTTTCAGATTGATGTTGTTCCGTTCATGCTGGCGGGTCTGCGGCCCCTGCCTGCACCCTGACGTCGAAGTGAATGGAGAGCCACAGCACAGCAACCTCTCAGCAAGGACCCGATGTGGTACACCGGCATGACCTCCTGCGGTGCTCCTCGGCACAGCCATGCCATGGTTGGAACCACCGGCACTGCCAAAGCCAAGAGATCTACTAGGAAGTACCGGCTCCAGTGGCATCGCTGAGGGGAATGACCTTCTTCACCAGCTCCTCCATTTTCATCCTTATTGTCTTCTTCTATCTCCACTACTGTAGCTTCCTGCTTAACTGGTAGTGGAGCTGTAGGGTGGGGCTGGCAGGTCTGAGGTCCCGCTGGTTTGTCCGGTTCTGATGGCTCTGCATTGTAAATATACTGAGGAAGGGATAGAGGAGGTAAAGATGATGGAAATCGTTGTTGTTCTGATGGGGTTATGTCTGCTGAGACTAAAGAAATTACACTTGGGCCTTCTGCACTGCTTTCTTCACAAAGCCAGGTCATGGTGGGGCTGCAGGCCTGGGAGCGGACCTCTGGTTTCTTCTCTGCTGCAGGAACAGGAATGGGGTTAGACTCAGTAGCAGAGACTGCAGCAGCCGTAACCGGGACTGCAGCAGCCGTAACCGGGACTGCAGCAGCCGTAACTGGGGCCTCCTCCTGAGGTAAGTGCAGAAACAAGTGATGGTGGGGGAGGTAGGTGTGTCCACTGCACCTGCAGCTGCTACTGAGAGTGTGGCAGGAGTGTGAGATTGGCAACACAGCCCCACCGCTGCACAACCTTTCATAGGTGGAAGAGCGTGGCACAGCTGGGGGGCCTCGGATGTGGCTCTGTGCCGGCAGCTGCTCTGACAGCAGGGCCGCCTCCAGGAGCAGGTGAGTTTGTCCTGCTGTTTGCGATGCTCCGCTCGGCTCGGGAGCACTTGAGCCGCGCTCCAGCTGCAGAGCCTCGCTGCTCAGTCTGGAGTGGGCGGCGCTGCGGGTTAAAGTGCTGGCTGGGGAACATCCACAGGAGCGAGACTTCCCGCCTGGCCGACCTCCCTGCAACCCTGAGAATGGCTTGTGGTCATGGGAGTCTTGTTGCCGTACACCCAGGTTGGACCTTACCGACTCAACCACCTCCTGGAGATGCTGGATCTCCTTGCGGGCCTCTTTTAGGGCTAACTGGGCCTCGACACGGTGGCATTCCTCTTCTATCCAGTCTTCCTGCATCCTGTACAGCTGTGCCCTTAACTCATCTATTTCACAGTCCCTGATGAGGAAGTAAAGATTTTTGAATAGCAGTTATTTTTGCAGAGTCACTCATACACAGACACAGTGTAGGGAAGCACTAGGGAAGTGCAAAAAATGAAATAGTATTCATACAACAACAACTGCAACCACAACAAGGAAAGTAGGGGTATAGAGAAAAAGACTAACCTGTGCTGTAGCCTTTCCACATTTTCCCTCAGTCTGGCTCGCAGGTGTCGTATACACACCTCCTTCTGTTGAAGGGGTGTAAGGTACTGCTCTGGGGTCGGGGGCCTGATCCCATGGTTGTCGCTGCAAGCTGTGTGCTTCACCTGACGTCTGAATCACACGTGGATGAAAAACGTTGGATTTAATCACATATGATGAGTATAAATTGATAGCTGACTGACAGTGAGTAGTAAAGTATAGTAGCATTAAACAGAAATCTGGTGATATAAAATAAAACACAAACCAATCCGACAACCTTCCTTTAAACCCTTACTCTAGATTAATATCAGCCAGTTTTTGCTGACATTGTGTCAGCGCTGGTAATTCAGTTCAACAGTTATTGCAGAAGCCGAGGGGAGCTGAAGTCTCAGCTGGCAAATCCCCTGTAAGAGCGTGCCAGTCCGACACAAGACTAACACATTCAGACAGTCAGTTACATCCATGGCTTTGGGCAATTCTGCGTGCAGTCCATTGAACTTGAATGTTTTATGAGAAGATGACTGAGTATAAAAAGATCTGGGGTAATTTTGGTAACATTTTGGTGCCTTATTTTCCGACTGTTAGACTACAGGAGTGTAAGTTGCATGTTACCTGGGGGTACTGGGATAAGTCCGGGCTGTGGGACTGCCCTCTGGTGGCCTAACTCGACCAGGGTAGGTGTGAGTACTGGATGTGTCGCTGTGGGAATATCGCCCGCTGCCGCCACTAGTTCCCACCGAGCGCCTTGTTGGGAGATCAAATTATTACTTAATAATATTATTATTAATAATTGCAAAAATCAGATTTCAATCAGCACAACTATAAGCATGAGAGGATTTTTATTTCGATGTGCAAAAATTTATAACTGGAGAAAATTTAAAAAAAAAAGAAGCAAACATCAATGGCAACAGATACAAGACAGACTCGAGACGCACATTCAAGAAAGAGCTGGGGTGGAAGTGGGTCGCAAAGCAGCTTGCAGATATGCTGCAACTGTAAGTAGGCTGAAGCAGCTTAAATAGCATGCCCTATATGAGCCAATTTGATGTGTAGAAAGATAGCTGCTGAGCTGGTAGGTGCTGATTTGCTGGGGTGACAGCTGAGCTTGAACTAATGCTACACTCAATATGTAATATTTTTTGCCATTTGGCTGAAAAAAAAGAGAGAAAAATGAGAAGAAACAGTACCTGCGCTGACCTGAGGAGGGCTTTCGACTCGGAGTTAGAGACATCGATGTGCAAAGGAATGTCCAACGTCTCCACGGCTCTCTCTAGAGAGGGACACTAGGAGCCCTCAGGGCTGCGCTGTAATCACCGTTACAGACACAAACATATCACAGGTAAAACCAGCATGAAGAAAACTGAATCCCAAAACCTGACAAGGAGCGTGTTTTGCTTCTAAAACACTGTGTCTTGTGTGTTGCCATTATGTGGCTCTAGGCTGGAAGGCAGTGACAAAAGTCTAACGCTGACACTTGTAAAAGAAATAGTCTAGGCAGCAGCAGATAAAGCCTCCTTTCTCTGCTGACACAAAGGCGACACAGTAAGTCTACAATCAGCGCAGCTGCCTCTCTCTACGTTGTGTCCTCCCTGTCTGCAGAGCTGCAGGCAAACATGATGAAACTTCACATTAACTGCTATAAAAAGCTATAAAACAGAGACAAAGCCTCACTTTTGGTGGCTGGCAGAGTCAACAGTCACTGGGGTTATCAACTGTTCACAAATACTTAAATAGTAGAACAGAGATGGTTCCTGCATGTGTTTCTACTATTGTAATTTCAACTGTGTTAATCTCTATATTTAATTTAATATATTTCATTTCTGTCTTTAGAACTATACAGGCACTCCTGATTGTTTCCCCAACATGAAGGTTTGAATCAGTTTGAATCCCTTCTTCACAACAGCAGGTTTAAAATGTTAATGTCAGCCGTGGTATTAAAACTCAAAACAACCTGACTACTGACTGAAATACTGGGCTGGCCCACCTTTTGCCCTCAGAACTGACTTATTCCTTGCTTTCCTTCCATCTTTCAGTAAGGTGCTGGAAACACTTCTCGGAGATGCAGCTGCTGCAGTTTTGTTAGCTGGACATTCCTGATGAGAATCTACTGTTCCACCCTAACATCCAAAAGGCGTGCTATCCTGCAGCAAGTAGCCATCAGAAAATCAATACACTGTGGTCATACAGGGATGGATGTAGTCAGCAACAGTAAGTGTTCCAAGAAAATATCACCCACATCATTGCACATACACCAGCATGAACCATTAATACGAGACAGAATTATTTCAATCTGCTAATATCCGATTTTAGTGAGTTTGTGTGAATACTAGCCTCAGTTACCTCTTCTTGGCTAATAATAATAATAATAATAATAATAATAATAATAAGAAGAAGAAGAACTTTGATGTGTATAACACTTTCAAAATACCCAAGGACACTTTACAAAAGAGTAGAAAGCAAAAAGGCTGACACGAGTGGCACTTGCTGTGGTCTTCTGCTGCCTTAGCCTGTCTGCTTCAAGGTTCAACATTTTGTGTTTTCAGAGCTGCTCTTCTGTGTATATTATAATATAGTAAGTGGTTATTTGAGTTACAGTTGCCTTCCTCTCAGCTTGAAGCAGTCTGTCTGGATTCTCCTCTGATCAACAAGAAATATCCACCCAGATATCTCCTGCTCACTGGATATTTTCTCTTTTTCCATTAATTCTCTGTAAACCATAGAGATGGTCATGTGGGAAAATCCCAGTAGATCCTCAGTTTTAGAAACCAACAACTTGAGTTTAAAATCACTTAAATCGGCCTTCCCTCCTCATTCTAAGGCTCAGTTTAAACTTCAGTAAGTTGTTTTGGCCATGTCTACATTCCTAAATGCACCGAGATCCTGGCTTGTGGTTTGGTGATGAGATATTTGAGTTCAAGAGTAGATGAACAGGTTACCTAACAAAGTAGCTGGTGAGTGTATATTAGTGTATATAGATTGAAATGTTTCTTTTTTCTTCCTATTGTGTATCTATTGGTTATGGTTTTGAGGACTTGTTCATTTTTAAGTCTTCATTTGTCATTGCATGCATGGCATCTTTTGGTACAAATGTGATTTCATTTGCAATTTCTACCCAAAATATAATAAAAATAGAAACCATTGCTCTGCTGTTTATTTACTTCTACAGCCAAAAATGTTGCAGTTTGTGCTTGTAGAGTGTTACTAAGCCCATAAATCACAAAACATTGTATGGTACACTTGAGAGCATTATATCTGCTTTTTATTTAAAGTTTATATTTAGATATTATAATAACTGATTGTAAATCAGGCTAAGTATTTACTAATTTAAGCAGTTTATACATGTTGATAATGAAAAAGAATCTAAATACATATACATTCCCTGAATTTAATTATCCCATAGGTAAAAATAGTTTTTTCGCAGATAAATCACTTGTATAATCAAGGTGATCTAATGGTAGCTATACAGCCCATTTCTGTTCAACCCAACCAGCACAAAAAAATCCAAGATGAGGACAAAATGTTCTCATCTGTCTTCAGAAGTCTCACAGCTCTGCGTAAAGCTTAAGGAAACCTGCTCATCCACGCTCAAAATGTACCGGCTCTTCAGGCAGCTGCAGACACAACAGACCTGTAATTCTGCTGTTAATGAAACGCGCACCCAGCGAGCCGGAAGCGTCTCATTGTGCCCTATATTTAATTTCTAGGACGACGAGGCAGGAAATCTCACCTCCCTCTCCTCCGTCTGCGCAACAAGTGCTAAGAGCTGGCGAGAAATACGCAATCATCTTACGTAAGTGTGAGTTTCGGTGTTCAGTGTGGAGGCGAGCAGCATCAAACAGCCGGCGCATAAAACTGTACTCAAAGCAGCATTTAGGCACCCTGCAGAGGATCCAGGAGGTGGGGGATGCCGGGAATGTTTCTGGATAAATATCACAAGGAGAGATGGGGACGGCGCGCTTTGTCCTTGAGTCATCATTACGGTATTGAATCACATGATTTTCAACATCTGTCGCCTAAAATAAGACGCTGTTAGATGAGCAGTTAAAGAAGTCTCATCACTTTCGCATGGCCAACTGACTGCAAGCGAGTCCCTAAACAGGACACCCAACACCCCAGCAGGTACTTTCTACCGAAGACAACGCTTCTAATCGAAACCGCTGACAAGCACATTTCGCCCCAGCTGTGTCCTACATACGATCATGTTGAGTAACCGTATGATACGGATACTAAACAAGGGTATATCACCATGTCTCTGAAGCTCAAAACAAACGTTCCCTGCAGACACAAAAGACCGACAACAACCTGCATGTGAAGCGGTACCATTTGGGCAGGTGGCAGCTGTGCATCGCGGAAAAGCCTCGGTTTCTGCCTGACTTAACGGTCCCCGGTGGCAGCAAGAAGAAAAGATGCTGGTGGTGCTGATGAGGGTCCATCCTGCAGCCATGAAGCCCGCAGATTAATGAGGCAACTGCGTCTGCTGCATCGCTGCTTCTTAAAGTGACAGCAGGGAATCATAAAGCCTCATCCGGCAGGATTTACCTGCATGTCTCTGTTTTCTGACAGGTGAATCCTTTATTCTAATAAAGACAGGCAGGCTGCTGAGCACCCTGTTCAGCAACCCAGGTGACGGACGGACTTGCAGAAAGAAAATTATGCTCCAATTCACAGATAAAGCAAAGTTTGTTTGCATAGAACAGAAATAAATACAAGTCTGTGCTTCGATATATGCATTTACTTTAACACAATCCACAATGCATCAGCCAATACAAGACACAGCACGAGTAGAGAAACTTCAAACTCTAAATTTTCACTACTTAAATAATTAACTTTAACAACAAAAGGCCTTTATCAACAGTCAGCTCTCTCTCTCCTATAAAGTTTAGATAATTTTAGTGTCCCTACCTGAGTGGATGACACAGAAACCTTCAGAAAAGCATTCACAAATAAACATAGCTTTGTGAGTCAATCATTACCATTTTAGTAAACAGTACACAAAGAATCTGTTTCTCAGTGCTGTTATGAAAGAGATTGAATTTAAAGTGAAGGGGCAGAAATTATTTAAAAATGTGGAACAGATTGCTGACAATCCAATCTCAATCTCAGTAACATAAAGTCATATTTCTACCTGCTAAAGAGTCACGTTAAATACTTTGTTAAAGAAAGGTTTGAAGAATGAAGAACAGCAACATTTCAGATAAAACAACAAAGAGCTATGTGACATTTTTTTTGTGTAACTGGTCACAGAAATAACTTCTGAGATCTTGTATCTGGAATAAATATACACGACAGAAAAAGCAGAAAGCAGACTAAAACATATAGAGAGTTGAATATGTAAAATCAGAGACCTGATAAAACAGTCTGGCCAAGCATTTTAGGAAACGTGTTCCTTCACTGAAACCCAGAACAAGCAAACATATAAACAGAGTAATATGTGTTCATATCATGCAGTTTATACTATTTATTCCAGAAGCTTATTTCATTAACTTTAATATAATCTTATCAGAGTTAAACAGACACACGGTGATTCTGCGTCATTTACAAACCCAAGCTGGCATGTTAGAAGACTGACTTCTGCTTTTTACTAATTGTAGAATTTGGGTCCAGGTGTGGCAGAGATGTCCTCATAGGGAGCGGTCTGACACAGGCGTAGGACTTCTTGTTTTTTCAGGACGAGGAAACAGAAGAAGGTGGTTGCAGCTTGCCAGCGATTGCTTCCTTCACAAATTCCCTGCAGGCTGAACGTGGGGTCTTTGCTGTCATGCTGGCTCTGCTGCAAACACGAACACACACAGACAAGAGTTTAATTTCCTGTACATCATCCCTAATCCTCTCCCATCCCTCTCATTGTTAAATTCCTGTCCACGCTGACTACAGTTTCTGATATTCAGGGTACCAGTACAGGGTATCCACATTTAAAATAAACTTCAATATATTATTAAGTAAAATTTGATTGTCAACTAATTTTGTTACTAAATGGCTGCGATCAGATGTGCTAACCAACAGACCAGCAGGTCTTTTCTTTTTGGTAAGTATAAACAAAACGTAATCCCTTTACATTTATGTATATGTTAATTCTCTCTTTTTTATGCATGGTGAAGTTGCATTTCTGGATAGTAACAACTCAAATAAGTTTCAGAAAGAGAAACAGAGGCGACCCCGGTATGCTAAGCTTTTTCTGGACTTTGCTACTCTCCTTTAGGTCACAAACATTTGTTCAGTTTTATTCTAATTAGTAAAAGGATACCATTAAACAATTCTTGAATACATTATCTCCCTAAGGCCAACAATGATGTCCAGAAGGTGGTGAGGTTATGTCATTGACATTGGGACAACTTTCATCTTAGAACCAGTATTCAAAAAAACAAAAACAAAACCAAACCCTTTCCTAAACCTGGAAACTGGTTAGTGATTTCCTGGCGACCAAGGGTTGCTAGGGAAAAATGTGTTTTCTTCACATAGTTTCGAGTGGTTGTGGGAGGCTGCTCACACTCGCTAGATAAAATTGGTCGCAAAGAGGACGGCACACTCAAAACCTCCACGTGACTGATTTTGAACAATCAGATGTGCCCTATTTAAACCCTCAGTAGCAGGATCGCAGATGTCAAGCCAAGACTGTTAGCTGTCATTTACTCAACACTGAAATGTTTGCAGAGTAATCAGGATGTTGTTATCATATCTATACCATAACAGTCAGGTCAGAATTTTGTCTCGATCATGTGTTTTTCAGAAACCAAGTACTAATGTTAAGTCGGCTTATGTAATATCCAAACTGAAATTAAGTAGACCCCATGGGACAAACAACACTCCTGTGTCCTGAACATGCATTCTTCCCATCTATTTTAATTCCAGTTACATCCAAGATGGAGTAGCTGGTGCGACTTTAATTCTAATGTCCAACCATTTATTTTTAGAGTCTTACTTTTAGAGCGTTCAGAAGCTTCTGTGCTCGCCTGGTTATCCTCCTCTCCTCAAAGTCCTGGCTATTCAGCATAGACTGGAGGTAAGAAAGGCACCATATTTCAGTCAGTGATGCTGGGCACATCGCCAAGGCAGGGTGGGAAATGAACACCCGCCATCTGTCAAGTGCTAATAAATTGGAGCTCGTCTACCGTATTAGCTATTTTCACACACAATCATCCATTATTAGTTCACTTTCATTCCACAGTTAAGGTCGGTGAGAAGCAGAGGTTGGCAGAGGACAGTTTCCTGCCCTGCTTCTATTTGTAACCGTTTGTGTCCGCAAGCACCTGAGTGTGGCGGGAAGTTGACTGCGTGCTGTGCTCCAAGTAAGGCGGGTGGACAAATATGGAGTCTTCAGATGGAAGTGATGGATGATTAAGCTCTGACCTGTTTTCATCCTGGTAGAAAGAGCACAGATTATGAGCTATGGACAATGAAAAACAGTGAAAGCAGGGGAATTATGATTTTTTTATATAACATGTTAATACTTACTTGTGTGAGCTGTGAGTAGCTCTCACGCTGGCTGTCGTTGACGTGATCGTGTTCAGTCAGCTCAGTGTTGTGTGTTTTTTCAGGATCAGCTGATAAATCCATGACACTGACTTCTGTAGTGAGGGCACTTAGTTCCCTCTGAGCTAAGGAGCAGGACAAAGCACATACATTAAAAACAATATAGCACCAAATCACAACAACTGTCACCTCAAGGCGCTTTATACTGTAAGGTAAAGACCCTACAATAATACAGAAACAACAACAACAACAAAAAAAGAAATCTATGAGCAAGCACTTAAAAGCAGTGGGAAGGGAAAACTCAATTTCAACAGGAAGAAGCCTCTGGCAGAAACAAGCTCAGGGGAAAGATCATTTTATTATGATCTTTCCTACTTTGTCCACCATTCTTTTGTTTTTTTCACATCCTGCCTCTCAGCTTTAACTTTGTTATATTACACATGTACTGTAATAACAGAAATAACACCATAGAAATGAATAAACAAACAT